CTTTTTACTTTTACTTTACTTTACTATTTTATTTTATTTATTTGGTACCAGGGATAGAACTCTTGCGAGGCAGGTGGTAGGAACCACTGACCTAAATCCCTGGCCCCAGCATGGTAGGATTTTAAATGATAATGTCCCGGGACATCCCTGAAAGTGGTAATAGAAATGTATAACAAGGGTGGCGGTTGGGGGGTGGGGGGGATGTAGCTCAGCAGCATAGCACCTGCCTGGCAAGTCCAGGGTCCTGAGTTCGATCCCCCAGAACAACAACAAAAAAGTAGCTGGGCATGGTGGAGCATGCAGGAGGATTGCAGCTACTTTGAGGCCAGTGTGATCTACATAGGGAGACCCTATCTCAAAAACCAACAAACGAAAAGCCAAGAAGTGGGTAACAGAAGCAGAAATTGCCAATGGATATTGTGTAGTCACCTCTGCTTGGGCTGCCTCCTGTGGAGAAGTTATATGTGTTTATTTAGTTAGGTTTGGGTTTGGGTTTGTTTCGTAGCGCTCTTCTATAAACAAGAGCCTGGTTCTTAATCCTGGAGAACATGAAGTACTAACAGAGCCCTGAACTTCTCTAGTTTCAAACTATGGGTGTCCTGGTGAATGAGATGTGGGATTCCTCCAGCCTGCTGCTCAGTGCCATTTGCATCAGCTCCCAGGTGCTTAGCAGGCCCTAGAGTGGGTCTGCTTTGGGGCAGTTTGTCTTACTTGAAAAAATTAGCTTGACAGCTTTTTGATTGTAAAAGTAATGTTCCTCTCACCAGCCATGGTGGCACAGGCCTGTCATCCCAACACCTGGGAGGCTGAGGCAGGAGGATCATTGCCTGTTCAGTATTAGTCTAGGCTTCGAGGTGAGTTCAAGGCCAGCCTGGACTACACTGCAAGACTCTGTCTAAAAAAAGTAACGTGCTGCTCTAAAAGTTGTGGTAAGGGTGGGACATGGTGGGGCACAGCTGTAATCCTGGAACCGAGGAGGCTGAGGCAGGAAGATTACCACAAATTCGACAGCCTGAGCTACATAGTTCAAGACCAGGCTGAACTACATAGCAAGACCCTGTCTTAAAAAACCTCCCCCTCAGGGCTGGGAATGTAGCTCAGTGGCACCGCACCTGCCTTGCAAGCACAAGGTCCTGAGTTTGATGCCCAGTACCGGAAAAAAAAAACAAAAACACCCTCCCCCTCAAAAAGTTGCAGTAAGCTCATGTTGTATGAGGAAACAACCATTCGTAATTCTACTACCCAGATAAACTTGCTAGGACTTGTGTATCCCTTTCAGTTCATTTATAACCATTTTTATGTTTAAATCTTTAAAAACTCCTTTGCAAATCTTTTTTTGAAAGATAAAGTATAGGGCTGGGGATTTAGCTCAGTGGTTCCACCGACTGCCTCGCAAGCGCAAGGTCCCGAGTTTGATCCCCGGTACAAAAAAAAAAGATGAAGTATAGGGATCTTAATTCTCACTGAAATTTTCTGGCTCTCACCACTTGGTGAACTGTCCATTTTTTACCTGAATCTTATAATGGTGTATTTGTCAAAATTATTCATTTCTAGCCAGCCATGGTGGCACATACCTGAAATTCTAGCTATACCCAGGAGGCTGAGGCAGAAAGATCTCAATATTAAGGCCAACATGAAAAGGGCTAAGGATGTAGCCAGTGATAGAGCACTTACCTAGCTCGGATGAGTCCCTGGACTAAATCACCAGCACTGAAAAGAAAAATTTTTAAATTTCTGAAGTCTCTTTCACTAATCTATTTAATCTTATTCCCACCTCACACTATGTATACTGTGTTGTTTTGTTTTGCTTTGGTTTTTTTTTTTGTTTTTTTTTTTGAGACAGGCTCTCACTATATTGTCCAAGCTGATCTCAAATTCCTGGGCTCTAGTGATCCTCCTGTCTCAGCCTCCTCAGTAGCTGGGACTAGAAGTGGGTACCATCATGTCCAGCTTGCTTCTGTAACATACTTTCTAAGACAATTAGGGCAAATCCCTTGCCATTACTGTCTGTGGTGGGGAAGAAAAGAGGGGGCTTACTATACATCCATTTTGAATACAGTTATGAGTACAGTTAGAGCTACTTCATTAAATTAAAACCCCTTAGATTTATTTTTTTTCTTCGAGGAGTAAGGAGTGAGCCAAGGGCCTCACGCACCCTAGGCCAGCGCTCTGCCACCAAGCTTCACTGCCAGCTCCCACTCCCACCCCCTTTCCAGGTTGGCCTTGAACTTTTATTTTTTTGAGACAGTGTCTCATTATGTAGTTCTGGCTGACCTCGAACTCACTATGTAGCCCAGGCTGGCATTGGAATTTGAGGCAGTCCTCCTGCCTTAGCCTTCTGAGTGCCAGGATTATAGGTGTGTGCCACCATGCCCAGCTTGGCCTTAAACTTTCTGTCCTTCTGCCTCAGCTTCCCATAATGCTAGGGTAACAGGGGCCTGCCACCTTGCTCAGCTGCTAGAATTTTTTTTTTTTTTTTTTTGGTACTGGGGATCGAACTCGGGTCCTTGCACCTGCGTAGCATGCACCGAAACCACTGAGCTAAATCCCTGGCCCGATAGAATTTTTTTTAAATTTTTTTTAATAGGGGAGAGTTCACCTCATTACACTAAAGTTTCTTTTTTTGGTACCGGGGATCGAACTTGGGTCCTTGCGCTTGCGCAGCAGGCGGTGAAACCACTAAGCTAAATCCCCGGCCCTAAGGTTTCCTACTTAAAAAATGTCTTCCTTTATTCAGATTTTCTTCATCACAGTAGAATAATAATTTCTGTCATTTAATCCTTGTACCCCAGTGAACCACTACAGTGATGAGTGCAGTAAAAATTGGAACATTCTTCAAGAAGTGAGTTAGCAGAGGTCTGTAAGATGTTGAAGTTCAACTCAGTAACTCCGTTCCCGAGCTGCATCTGTGTGCCCTGGTGGACAGAAACCTCGGGCCAGCCTGAAAATGTAGCCTTTGGTTCGCTTTCTAGCTGTTTCCCTCTGGTCCAGGCAGACTCAGCGCCCTGTGTCTGGCAGTCTCTGTCTCCCGGTTGGCACAGCACCCAGGGGTCCGTGTGTGCTGCATGGGGCGAGGTGCCCTTGCTGTGCTGGCGGCATCCGTCGTGGGAGTCCATGGAGCTCTGTGGAGGACTTGCTTACTTGGGAGGGGCCTGGGTCAGGTCTTGGGGCCTCTAGTCTCCTGGAGCGTGGGCCATCTGCTGCCAGGCACCACCTGCAGACCCCACAGGCAGGTCACGGTGTTCTTCATGGGGGCCCACTCCCTCGTCTGTTTTAAACGAGGAACATTGTCATGGGTTCCTGCTGTAGCAGGATCTGGAGGACCTGGGCGTCCTCAGAGTTTCTGGGATCAATGTTGCTGGGGTTCACAGGTGAGGAAAGTGGTCTGGGGTGGCACGTCCCCTGCACAGGAGGGTCAGCCATGTTTGGTGCTGTATGGGTATTGCTGGTGGGCTGTGAGGGCCGGGACTCAGGAAAGAAACAGGCAGGGACGGGTCCTGTGGGAGTGCAGAGTGCAGAGGCAGAGGAGCAGTCCTCCCTTCTCTGGAGCCTTAGCCAGCAGCGTCAGCGTGCCAGGAACATTGGTGACAGGTGATGCGGAGCCTCCCCACACACTGGGTGGCGAGCTCATGCGTGTTCTTCATCAAAGCTTGTAGAGTTGCTCATCTCTGCAGTTTGCCCATCTTTGGCTCTGGACCTCGCGCTGGCGCCATGTGTGGCCTCCAGCTTGCAGTGAGTGGGTGACAGAACCTACACGCGTTGGTCAATGCAGTCCCTGGGGAGGAGGGGGCAGTGAGGCTCCACATACAATTAGGGGCTTGGGTATGGGTACAGCCTCTGCCTCACTGCCCAGCTAGGACCAAAAAAGATTGAGGCCGTTTTCTGCTGCCCCTACCCATGAGGAGCTGTCTGGGCAAAGCCAGGCAGCTGAGATGCAGTGTCTTCCTGGGCCAGCCCTGGCTCCCAGCCTTGGGCATTGAGACAGCATCACCTTCATGGGTGGTCACGAGGCCTGGCTCCCTTTCCCACACTGTCCCGTCCCCATAGCCAGAGATGGATTTGGAAGCTGTGGAGGTCACTTCCAGGCACAGGGCCCTTACCTGACCCTCCCTGGCCTGCAGGACAACAGTGGGATCAGTGGGGTCTAACATGTCCTGTCAGTCCATAATCTTGGGGACAATGCCACCTGCTGGGAAAGAGCAGGTGTCAGGAAAAGAGGTGAGGCTCAGTTTTTTGGCCTCAACCCTGTGATCTGCTGCTTCTTCCCCATTGTCTGTTGGGCTTAGTTCCATCTTTATTCATCTCTGCTTTAGGCACATTTAAAAATATTAGCAGCCAATACTTCCCAGCTGCTTACCAGATTCTAGTCAGCCAACATGCAGGCTCTGGTGATAGAAGACACAGGGCGAGACCACTTTCCTTGAGTCCATAGACTGACATGGCCCATGCTGGAAGAGAGCGGCACTGTGCTCGGACAGGGAAGGCTGCCAGTTTCTGCAAAGAGGAATCTGCCTAGCTGCAGCTTCAGCGTTGTTCATCCACAGAGTCCGCACATAAGTGTTCTTTTGTTGGCAGCGAGCGTGCCCCAGGGAATGACCCTGTCCTCACAGAGAGGACAGACAAGAACAGTGTAAGGATGGCATGTGTGCTGCTTGTGCTGGGGAGTGACGTAGCCTAGCAGGGTAGGGAACAGGGAGAGGCCACGGTTCAGATCCAGTGGTTTCCTCTGCCACACCGTGCCTCACAGGTGCTTCGCAGATCCTGGAGCTGCCAGAGAAGCTTGGAGCTTTGATTCTAATTGCTGAGCCCACCAAGTGATCGAATGGGAAAATGCAGCCTTCCTCCTCCCCCTCCTTCCCCTCCCACACTTGCCGGGCTCTCTGGTCCCAAGTTCTGGGGATGGGCCCTTTATCAGAAGGGTCCTGAGGGCCTGGAGCTGTGCCAAGGGGCATTTCCTCCTGGTGGTCTTTGCTCACTGTGCTTTCTCCTTTCTCCTGCAGTTTGAAGGATGACCTCGAGGAAGAAAGTGTTACTGAAGGTTATCATCCTGGGCGATTCGGGGTAAGTGTCACCTGTATTTGAGCCATCATGTTGGCTTAGAGCTGAGCCTCACTCCCGGGGATCTCCCCGCCATGTTCCCTCCATCCCTGGGCTGGTGTAGACATCACTGTGTCCTGCTCTGGGCTCTTCTTCTCCTGCTGTTGGGGTACAGAGAGAAGTATGAATGGTCTCTTACTGTGCAGTCTTCATAGGCTACATGGCTTTTATAGCATGATTGCTAGGGAACAGGTGGCTGACTGCACTCAGCTGATGTGGGCATTTTCATGAAGCCCCTTTGCTCCAAGTTGCTCAACCCCGGGAGGCTGCTCATGCCCATGCATTGCCACTGCTGCAGAGGGGTTGGTTGCCTCTGGCTCTCCTCCAGGGCGGGTGTCTGGTGCATTGCCTCCTGTGCCTGGTCAGGCCTGTGGAGGAGGACCTGGCTGCTACTTTTCGATCTGCACTAACTCTTGAGCAACTGACTGGTAGGCTTTTCAGACTTGGTGTCTGACATGACTCAGGATAGCTTTACTTCATTGGAGGCATACATATTTAAAATAACAGTAATAAGGGCCGGGGATTTAGCTCCGTGGTTTCGCTGCCTGCTGCACAAGTGCAAGGACCCCAGTTCAATCCCCGGTACCCAATAAATAAACAAACAAACAAACAGTAATAAGCTGGATCTTGTATACACACACGTGTAGTTCCAGCTACTCAGGAGGCTGAGGTGGTCACTTGAACCCAGGAACTCAGGACCTTCCTGGGCAGCATAGCAAGACCCCATCTTCAAAATAATAAAAATGTAGACAGGTTTGCCCTTGTGTCTCAAAGTTCCCACCCTTTCTTTCAAGAAGTGAGTGATTTTTCTTTTTTGGTGGGCTTATATGAACTACTTGAGGCCCCTTTAATAAGCTAGCCTTTGCCCAGCCCCAGATCACTGGGGTGGGGTTGAAGTGCCCCGTCCCATCCTGTCCTGTCCCGTGTCCGTGCCCCCGCCCAGGACGGACAGATACTTTGCTTTGGCCTGCATTGCCAGACGGGCCTGAAGAGAATGAGCCGGCCCCATCCCATTACAGCTTCAGACGGGCCTGAAGAGAATGAGCCGGCCCCATCCCATTACAGCTTCTGTCGCAGCGTTCACTCTTGCCCTCCTGGCTGCTCTGGTCTGCGTAGAGTGAGTTGCTGTGGCGCTGTCTGTCCAGGGACCCTGTGAATGAAGGTGACCCGTCCCTCTGAGGGACACAGATGGTGCTGTTGGCTCAGGGGCTCCTGTCTTTTCTTCAGGCTGCCCTGGCCTTGGCCAGGAAAAGGCCGTCCACCATCGCCTATGAGCTTGGCGGGGTGGGGGCCCTTGGGAGGAGTGTTGCCTTGCAGCAGACTCTCTCCGATGACACCGCTGGGTGTTTTCTCCAGGTTGCATTTCCAGCTCCAGGGCAGCATCCTCCTCCTGGCCTCAGTGCATCGAGCTGAGTAACAGCCACCAAAGAGAGATGCACTCCAGACTGCAGGGATATTTTTGGAATAGTGGAGAGATCTTATTACTGCAGCTTCTTTTAGAAGGAGTGATTTGCTGACTTCCTTCTGGAAGGGAAAAGAATAATACTAGGTTCTACCACTGAGTAGCCTGTACCAGAACTTCTCAGCATCTGGCACACATCAAGACTATTTTCTTTTTTCCCCCTAGTGCTGGGCCCCACCTGCTGGGGCCTTGCCATGCTAAGCCAGGGCTCTCCGCTGAGCTCCACCCCCACACTGTGTTTTTACCCAGGAGAAAGTGCAGCGGATCTCGGGTGCTGCTGGCATTTGCTGGCACTGCCCGGCTGGTGAGGACAGTTCCTCCTCCTCTTTCAGGACCAGCAGGTTCCTTATAAAGTTGCACATGTCCAGGTCTGTTTCACCCCCTTCCTGTTTGGCTCAGACTTGTGGTTTTTCTCCAATTTCAGGGTCGGCAAGACATCACTTATGAACCAGTATGTGAACAAGAAATTCAGTAACCAGTACAAAGCCACAATAGGAGCAGACTTCCTGACCAAGGAGGTGATGGTGGATGACAGACTAGTCACCATGCAGGTAGGCCTGCCTCCCGCCTTGCTCGCTATCTCGGTGTTTTCCTTCCCCGCTCTCAGACCTCACGGTTGTATTTGTGGGTAGTTGGCTGTGGGCAGAATTATCAAACACATGGGCCGGGGATTTAGCTCAGTGGTTTTGCCACCTGCTGCGCAAGCGTAAGGACCCAAGTTCGATGCCCAGTACCAAAACCCAAAAAGAATTATCAAACACATACACCAGACACCTGGGTTAAGTTTACACCCCACCCCTCACCCGCCCTTTGTGACACCAAGAATGGACCCAAGGGCTCCTGCATGCAGAGTTGGAACTGTACTGCCTCAGGCTGCAGATGTACCTCAGTGGTAGAGCACATTTCTGGTGTGCTTGAGGTTCTAGATTCCACTCCCAGCACCATTAAAAACAAGGAATTGTACCACTGAGCCACACCTCAGCCCTAAATTAGAACTTCATATAAGGCATACTAAAATTTGGTGATGGTTTTTGTGAAATTCAGATTTCACTGGGCTTCCTGGGTTTATTTGTTGTTGTAGTTTGTCCTGGGTTTGAGGTTTTGGTTTTTGCTAAATCTGGCATCTTACGCCTTCCTGCCTGTGTTCCAAAATGTCTTCAGTTTTTATCCGTTTTTTGTGGCGCTGGGGGTTGGAGCCAGGACCTTGCTGCACTGCTAAGTTGCCCACCCACCCAGCCCTTGGGAGGCTCGGAAGGCAGGGCTGGGTCTCTCAGGCTGAGGAGGTGGACAAGGCTTATGGACCCACAGGTTGGGGGCTTTGCCCTCTCATAGAAGGATTCGTGGTCCCACTCTCCATAGTTCATACTCTGCCAGGAATGGAAATCTGTCTGAAGAGTTTAACATAGCAAAGACAACTCTGTAGGGACACCCCGAAACTAGGGAAGACATGCGTACAGCTAATGAGGAAATGTATGCCAGGAGAAATGTTCATAATGACAAAGACCTCTGGAGGGAAGTCTTCAGTGGGAAAAGACACTATAAAATGAGGATATGAAAAAACATCTTCAAGGACCGAAAAACGACTACTGAAATAAACATAATCAACAGTTAGCCTCTGGATTACACACAGCCAAAGAAACATAGTAAACTCTCAGAGCCAAGCAAATGTCCTAGGAGAAAACTTAAAATTGCAGAAGATCAAAGGCACAATCCCTAAGAGCAGCTAGAGAGGGAAAGGACAGGTGACCGATCTAGAGACAGAAGTTAGGCCACAGAGGGAGCAGGATGCCCTCCGTCTCCGACAGCAGAGCTTGGGAGTTGGGTCCTGTGCACCGTGGCCCTGCTGAGCTGGGTGCTCTGGGGGATTCCTGCCTGGCCCTGTGCTGCCCAGCCACCTCGAGGCCCCATGCCTTGGACCATGGGCCTTGGAGAGGCTGCAGCCGGGCTCAGACAGGAAACGAGAAAACCATCGTCTCTGGGCAAGGCATCACCCCAGGTTTTGGGTCGTTTTTCTTTTTTGAGACAGGGTCTCACTATGTAGTTCAGGCTGTTCTTGAACTCACTGTGTAGTCCAGGCTGGCCTCACACATCGATCTTCCTGCCTTAGCCTCCCGAGTGCTGTGATTACAGGCATGCACCACCACACCAGCCTCTTTTTATTTGTTAATTTTAATTTTTTTTTTTTTGAGAGGTCTCACTGAGGTTGCCCAGATTGGCCTTGAATTTGTGATCTTCCTCAGCCTATGCCCAGCTATCATCTGAGATCTCAAGGGATCTCCACATGCTTGAGTTTTTTTGGTGTCAGGTATTGCCCAAGGGTCCTTGCGCTTGCGCAGCAGGTGGCAAAAGCACTGAGCTAAAATCCCCTGCCCCTCCACATGCTTTTTAAGGGCTTTTAGAAAACAGGTGTTATGAAGAAGACCAGCAGATCCTCCCTGGTAATTTAGTGGTTTTCATTTAAAGAAATAACCAAGATCCAGTCTCTTGTGTCACCCAGGATGAATAAATGCTAGAGTGCTGCATAGCATGGTGCCTGTTGTTCATTACTGTGCTCTGTATGTAAGGGTTTGCAGCCAAGTGGGGGTGCACATACAGCCTGTAATCTCTGCACTTGGGATGCTGAAGCAGGAGGATCCTGGGTTTGAGACCATCATGGGCTACTTAGTGAGTTCAGGCCCCTGTCTCAAGAAACACAAGTATAATTTGCTGAGCTGGGGGTATGTCTCACTTGAAGAGCACTTGCTTAGCATGTGTGAGGCCCACCCACACACACACACACACAAAACCGGGTGCAGTGCTACGTGTCTGCAGTTCCAGCATTTTGAGAGGCTAAAGCAGGAGGTCACAAGACCTTGACGCAAAAGGAAAACTGAAAAGGGCTAGAGATGTAACTCACTGTGAAGGCCCCGGTTCAATCCCCAGGACTGCAAAAATGAAAAAAACGGAAGGAAGGTAGGTGTGTAACTTCCAAACTACTGTAGTTGGTCCCTGGGTCCCCATGGCATCCCTGCAGGCACTCAAGTCCCTTAACTGACCTGGTATGCTCATCCGGACACAGCCTCCTGTGCATATACTGGTTCACAAGACCTGACCTTAGGTAAATAGTGGGCACAGTACATTGTGCATGTACTGTAATGAGTAACAAAGAAAAACGGCATGTGTGTGACTGCATCACGATCTGCAGTTGGTTGAATCTCAGGCTCTTATTTCTTAGTACCTGGAATTGAGCACAGGGCCTTTGCCCTGAGCTATATCCCTGCCCTTTTTGTGTTGAGACAGGGCATTGCTAAATTGCACAGGTGGGACTAAAACTTGTGATCCTCTTGCCTCAGCCTCCCAGAATACTAGCATAGCAGGCATGTGTCACTGCGCCTGACTAAAAATAGATTTTTTTTTTTAACCTTTGGCATGGAGTGGGGAGAGAAGCAGAGGCTTGAACCCAGGGCCTTGTCACGCTAGGCCAGCAGACCTCTGGCACTTAGAATTGAGAAAACACCAATCATAAAAGGTTGAACATGGGTCGTAACCCACATTAAACATCTGAACAACAAGACTGCCAAAGAATGCGGACGGAGCACAGAGCAGGAGTGTGCAGACAGACCCAGGTGACAAGCAGCCTTGGGGATGGCGGGCGGCAGTGCTGGTGGCCAGCCGCTGGGTCCTGAGGAGCCCCTGAACGGTGGGGTGGGTAGGGAGGAGAGTGGGTCCCAGAGCCGAGGGGCAGTATCACAGTGTCACGGTCCTGGCCGTGGCCTGGAGTCCCCTTGGGCAGGCAAGGAGTGACAGAAGGGTGCTCTTGGCTGCCAGCTGGGGTGGGTACGCACAGCGTGTTGGGCCTTATAGCGCCCGTGAGCAGAGGGCAGCTGCGAGGAGAGCCGTGAATAAGCTGTCCCCCGGGGCCATTGACTTCTGGGGAGGAAGGAGGGAGAAGGTGACCCTGAACCCTGGATGGTGTCGGCACCAGCTGGTCACCTCGGGGCAGGGAACACAGCACGGTGCCAGAGAGTGTGCTTAGGCCAGGCCTGCGTGGCGCTCCGTGCCCAGTGCCATACTCAGAAGTTTGTTTTGTCACATCAAAGTAGTGAGTAGATAAATGTACAGAATAGTTTTGAATATAGAAAATAAAATGTTTCTGTTAAAATATTTAAAATGTTGGTCTGGGGCGGGGGATTTAGCCCAGTGGTTCCGTCGCCTGCCTCGCAAGCGCAAGGACCTGAGTTCTATCCCCGGTACCCCAAAAATAAAAAATAAATAAATAAAAATTTGAAAAAAAACCTGTTGGTCTGGCGATTTAGTTCAGTAGTGCTGTGCCTACCTCGAAAGTGCAAGGTCCTGAGTTTGATCCCCGGTACTGGGAAAAAAGGAAAAAAATGTTTTTAAACGTAAAAGACCAGTCAGACAAAGGTGTGGTGGCACATGCCTATAATCCTGGCTTTTGGGGAGGCTGAGGCAGGACATTGCAAGTTCCAGCACAGCCTGGGCAGCTTAGAGACTTACATTGATAAATTTGAAATTCAATTAACTTTGGAAATTGCTGGGAAGAGCCCCTCAGTGTTTCAGCTTATTTCTTAGCTGTTCCTTGGCCTTCTCTGTGTATCTGAATTCCATATAACCATGGGTCCTCCTGGGAGGGCAGAGTTCTCAGTGATGCCAGTCTAGGGGTACTGTCTAGAGGAAGCCACATGATATATCCCTGGAATCCCTGCCTCGAGGGAGGCTAAGGTAGGGTCTTGAGTTCAAGACCAGCCTGTCAAAATGGAAAGGGCTGGGGGTGGAGCTCTAGCAAAGCCCTGGGGTCTCGTTCCCAGGACTCCTGGCAAAAGCCATTGGTGATAGAAGAGTGCTGTGCATACCTGTTCATCCTGAGCTGTTCATAAGCATAGACGATGGGCGGCAGTATTCTTCTAAAAGCAGGAATGAATCTGGGCCAAGCCTCAGGAGAGTGGCATGTATCCTGCAGGATGAAGACATGCAGAGAGGGGGCAGGAAAGGCCACCACTTGGCACTGCGGGCAGCATGAGCCCTAAAGACCGGGGAGTGGGGGCTTCTGTTTGACTTTGGTTTTGGCTTTTGCTTAGTTACTTCCCAGATGTTTGCATGACACTTACTTCCCTAATGAAGTCTCTGTGTGCGTGCGTGCATGCGTGCGTGCGTGCGTGCGTGTGTGTGTGTGTATTTTAATATGTTCGAGTATGGATTCAAGGTTTGTTGTTTTGTTTTTTGGTTATTTTGGTACTGGTGATGGAACTCGGGTCCTTGTGCTTGCACAGCAGGTGGCAAAACCACTGAGCTAAATCTCCAGGCCTCAAGTTTTGTTTTTAAAGCTTTTGAGCCAGATGTGATGGCACATACCTATAATCCTGGCTTTTGGGGAGGCTGAGGCAGGACAATTGCAAGTTCCAGTGCAGCCTGGGAAACTTAAGAGACTTAGTGAGACCCTGCCTCAAAATAAAAAATAGAAAAAGATCTGGGCTTGTCCCTCATTGTGCAGGCCCTGGGTTCAATCCCCGGTACTGCAGAAATCAAACTTTGTTTTCTAGGGCCAGGGATTTAGCTCAGTGTTTCCAACGTCTGCCTCGAAAATGCAAGGTCCTGAGTTCGATCCCCGGTACCAAAAAAGAAAACCTTTGTCGTCCCCTCCCCCAGCCCTCTATTATGGTGGTTCTTTGGATTGAACCCAGGGCCTTCATACTGACCTGCACTAAGTTGACCCTTCTGCATCACCTGTGCCGGGTGCTGGAGTTACAGTGTGAGTCTCCGAACCCAGTGCCAGCCTCCCTCTTGAACCTAGCATGGCCTCGAGGGCGACAGCCTTCAGTGGGCCAGTGGGACCTGGTGTTCATCTTCGCTGTGTGTGCTGCAGTTCTTTCTCTCCTTCTCCCTCTCTTTCTGTCATGGTGCTTGTTCAGTTTAAGTTTGTTTTGTTCTGCAGTATTGGAGGACAAACTCACCCTAGGGATGAGCTACACCCCCATTACTTTTGATTTTTGGTTTTGAGGGAGGGTCCCACTCAGTTGCCTGAGGTGGCCTAGAACCTGCCGTCTTCCTGCCCTAGCCTCACGAGTGGCTGAGCGTATAGGCAAGTCCTCTCCTGCCCAGAGAATATCTTCCCGTGTGAGCACTTCACGGCGCATGCTCATAATCCCAGCTACTTACTCTCGAGGCTGAGGGAGGAAGCCTTGGAAATGTCTACACTGGGGATGTGGCTCTACTAATCCATGCCATTGCCATGCCGTGCCATGCTTTGGTTTTTATTGTCAACACTGAAAAAGTATGAAAACCTTTCTAGTGGCTCAGAGATGAGCTCCCTGCCGCCTCATAGACCTGGACTCAGTCTGGAATGCAGGGGTGCTCTGGGCACTGCAGCCCTAAGCCCCATTCTGAGTTCTGGAGTCCCTGTCTCAGGTGGCGCCACAGCCTGCGCATCCCACTGGTGCATTCCCAATACCAGCAGGGCGCCCTGCCCGTGTCCCCAGGAGCCGCTGCCCTTCTCTCGCAGATATGGGACACGGCCGGTCAGGAAAGGTTCCAGTCCCTCGGCGTGGCCTTCTACCGAGGCGCGGATTGCTGCGTGCTGGTGTTTGATGTGACAGCTCCCAACACGTTCAAGACCCTGGACAGCTGGAGAGATGAGTTCCTCATCCAGGCCAGCCCCCGGGACCCAGAGAACTTCCCCTTTGTCGTGCTGGGGAACAAGATCGACCTCGAAAACAGACAAGTAAGTGCCAAGGACCGAAGACGCTGGGTGTGTTAGGGGTTTGGCTGGAAGGTCCCATCCCTGGTGGCTTTGGCTGCCCTCTTGCTCTCGGAGCTGGAGCCCCTTTCTGCACTTGGGAGGAGGAGATTTGATTTGTTACCTGCAGCCAGGGTCTCTTGTGTGCAGGAGGTTGCTCAGGTGTGGGCAGCAGCTCTTGTGCACCTCGGGTGCGTGTCCTTGTGGGGATGGGCACTTACGTTGGTAACAGCACCCTTTCAGCCATCCACCAAGACTTAGTCCTGGGCAGGGACAGCGAAGTGTGAGGGGCAGGAGCTACAGAGCACTGGCACCAGAGCGTGTGGTGCAGGTGATGGATGAGGCAGGAGTAATGGGGAGGCTGCAAACCCTAGGCCATGTTTCTCCCAGCTGGCTCCATGCTCCCTCTCAAGTGGCTATAAGGGAGCCTCGGCCAGAGGTCTGAGCTGGCCTGCAGGTGTCAGGTGGCCAGGGCAGGTCTGGGGTCCCCCCAGCCTTGTTCCTGAGTTAGTGCAGCCACCTGTGTTACAGCACATTCGGCCCCACTTCCTCTTCCAGGTGGCCACGAAGAGGGCACAAGCCTGGTGCTACAGCAAAAACAACATTCCCTACTTTGAGACCAGTGCCAAGGAGGCCATCAATGTGGAGCAGGCGTTCCAGACGATTGCACGGAATGCGCTCAAGCAGGTAGGTCCTGGCTGTCTCTGCCACCCTCCTGGGGTGACGGTGAGCTCCGCTGCGTTCCTGGGAGCGCCCCCACTCTGAGATCCTGTGGAAGACACAAACTGTGGCTGAGACCATCGTGTGTCTGCAGTGTCCCGATTTCTTCCCGTGTTGTGGGGAGGTGACAGATGGTGGCTTCCGTGTCTCAGCTCTGCAGTCAGTCACACTATTGGGGCTTTCATTTCCTCTGAGCTGCTGTCTCCTCTGAGCTGCTTCAACTCAGACGGCACGTCGCTTTCCCCTGGGAACAGTTAAGTGAGCGACACAGGCAGGAAAGGAATCTAGGGAAATGTTGGCAAGGAATCCAGGTCCCGGAGCCCCGGCCAGCCTTCTTCCCAACAGTGACTGTGACCACAGGTGTGACAAAGGTGGTGTGGGTGGAGCAGCTCTGCTGGGGACTGTAGCACCTGAAGGTGGGCTTGTGGCATCACCACACGTGGTGGGTGAGGTGAGCGCTGGAGGAGCAGGTGGGCTGTGAAGGGCAAGGCAGGGTCTGCCACCAGCAGGAAGCCCTGGTTTAGTGGGGAGGGGTGGGGGGCATCCTGCAGACCAGAAGCCTTGGGAAGAAGAGTTCCGTCTAGGGACAAAGGAAGCCCTCGCCAGGAGACACAGGACTACATGTGTCTAAGGAACGGTCACACTGAGGACAGCACCCTCTGGGGACCCACCATGTGGCCCAGACACAGGCGCAATGGCGCAAGGCTTTGGTGTGGAACTTCAGGGGACGCAG